ATAGAAATCAAATATGACTCCCAGTTGGTGGTAGATCATGTTTACGGGATCTTCGGAGCCAAATAGGAATGCATGCAACAATACGTAGTGAAGATTCAGGCTCTGTTTGCTCGGTTTTGGGAGTGGTCAATTGTGCATATCCCGAGGGAGGAAAATGTAGAAGCGGATGCACTAACCTTGGCTCGTCTACGGAAATGAAGGGATCGGATTCCAGTACGGTCGTATAGCTTATGCACTCGATTCTGGACGAGATAGCTGCTACGAGATAAATGCGACTAATTTGGTCTGGGATTGGAGGGATGAGATCATTGATTATCTCGAGCACGAAAAGTTTCTTGAAGATCCCAAGGCATCTCGGGCGCTACGCACTAAGGCAGCGTGATAAAGTTTCAAAGGAGGTCAATTGTACAAAAAATCTTTCCAAGGCCCGCTGACCCGATGTTTGGCAGCCTCCGAAGCTAATTATGTTATGTGAGAAGTCCATGAAGGGATCTGCGGAAATCACTCGGGTGCAGATTCCTTAGTACTAAAATTAGTAAGGGCGGAATATTATTGGCCCCGCATAGAACAAGACGCCAAAAGTTATGTTCAAAAATGTGATAAATGTCAATGCTACGCACCGTTGGTACATCAACCTGCAGAACCATTGCACTCAGTTTTGTCTCCATGCCCATTCATAAAGTGGGGAATGGATATCGTCGGACCACTACCGCCGGCCCCTGGTAAGGCAAGGTTTCTTTTGATCTTAATTGACTATTTTTCTAAGTGGGTTGAAGCAGGTCCTTATCAGAAGATCAAGTGAAGTGGATTTCTTGTGGGAGAACATAATTTGCAGATTTGGGATACCAAAAGAGATAGCCTGTGACAACAAGCGATAATTTATAGGCACAGAGGTCAAAAGTTCCTTGAAGACTTGAAATTCAAAAGGATCACATCTTTACCCTATCTTCCGAGCCAAATGGTCAAGTAGAATCAACGAACAAAGTGATTATACAAAATCTCAAAAAGAGATTGGAAGCAGCTAAAGGTAAATGGCCTGAGGAACTGCCAGGTGTACTATGGGCGTACCAAACAACGGCTAAATCGAGCACGGGAGAGACTCCTTTCTCCCTTGTGTACGGAGCAGAAGCCCTGATCCCGATGGAAGTAGGGGAGCCTACCCTGAGATATTTCCGGGTGAATGAAGAAACAAAGAATGAAGCAATGTTGATCAATCTGGAGCTGCTCGATAAATGCAGGGACTTGGTGCCTATAAGGATGGCAGCCCAAAAGTAGAGAATAGAAAGATATTATAATCGAAGAGTCAACCTCCATTATTTCAAAGTGGGAGACTTAGTTTTAAGGAAAGTGATTCAGAACACCCGGGAGCTCAATGCGGGGAAGCTAGGTCCAACATGGGAAGGACCCTACCGGGTTACTGTCACCGGGAAAGAATCATACAAGTTGGAGAATCAAGATGGAGAAAAGTTTCCAAGCAACTGGAACGTGGAACACCTCAAGAGATACGATTGCTGATGAACATCACTGTACTGAAAGTATGTGCTGCACTTTTTTCCCCTTGGTCCAGTTTTTTCTCCCAATTGGGTGTTTCTGGCAAGATTTTTAACGAGCCAGCAACGGAAAGCATTGTCGCGCCCCCTTTTTCTTGCAAAATCGGGTTTATGACATTTTGGTTGAGACAACTCGTTCCTTTTGGGAAAGGGGTTTGCATTTTGAAGAGTTGCCACCTAACGTTTTAAGGTGCGTTAGGGCACCTAGAGGGTTCATTTATAACTACATTTGGTAACCAGAGACAGGGTAAGGGCTAAAAATTATCCTAAGGGGAAGGTGTTAGGCACTCCTCAGGATCCACCAGTGTGGTTCCCGGCCAAACAGCTTTTGTGGATTTGTACAATTTAGCAAATAAACAAGTATGGCTCAAATAATAGGGGATTTAAGTTTAAGTACACAGATGTTCGAAAACAGTTAATGAAAAGCTAGATTTTGAAAAGAATATAATCCAAGCATGTTTGTGAATGTAAAGGGGTATCCTAGGTTTGTTTATGATATGGATCACATCAATGCAATACCCGGTATGACACTCCTCAAAGAGGGGCTACACGTGGTATTGACGCACCGGTCATCATATCCATATCTACCCTTTCCCATCCCATGAAGGTAATTAAAGCGAGGGTTGGTCTCGACCCCTATTGCATGCTGTTACCTGTCCCTTCCTATCAGTCCCGGAGGAATTTAGGACTTCTATCCTACAAAAAGGGGGTTCTAGGCAGACCCTTAAGTTTAAAGAATAAACAGATAGGACTTCAATTAAAGGGGAGCATGGAAGACAAATACAAGGCTCAGATATACCTCCACACATAGTACACATAAACAGCATGACTCATACACAATTAAGGTCTAAATTCAGATCCTAAGCATGATATCTAAGTGATAACAGCAGAGTCAGATTTATTACATAACTCAGAGAGGAAGTCCTAATCAGGCTTGCCTACTGATTTTGACATGCTGACAATTAAACACTAATCACAAAGACGGTTCTGGTTTTATTTTAAAGTTGATTACCTAAGGCTTGCCTAGGCGTAAAATAATATGCAGCAGTTATTCAGATTTGTTAATAATTCCAGGTTGTTATACCTAATAGCATGCAATTCTAAATGTTGCAAACATCCAGAGACTAATTACTAGTTTGTTTAGAACAGGAGGATTGTTTATGCATCTGTATTTAGACTAGTGTGATTGAATAAGTGCGATCCTATAACATGATGTCTAATACAGCATGATGCATAATAACTTAAGCAAGATTTCTAAATGCAGAGCATGGTTGCAATATGGTGAGTGCATGAATAACAAATTGTGTTAACATGTTTACCCTAAGGCAGGATTTCTAAATGAAATTTCAGAACATATTTACATGGGCAGAATCACATAATAGCAGCTTATTTTATTGTTATTATCTACCCTATAGACAGGATTTCTATGTGTGGATGAGATGCTGAAAACAGTACATATAAATCCTAAATAGCATGATATCTAATGCACGACATGCTTGGCATGTTGTACCTAAACATGGCTGCTAATGCGCATAGAGAAAGTAAACCTAGGAACATGATTTTTACCCTAGATTATACTACAGCATGCATATTACCCACCCCTTTTCACTATCCAACCCCAGAGTCGTTTACAAATAATTATTACAGGCCTTTGAATAGGAATTGCATAACTGAATAAAGAAAAAAAATAAGAAGTTAATTATAGGGAGCCTTGATAAGTGCATTTTACTTGATTTTTAACATATAATTTCTTTGAAAAATAAAAAAAAAACTATCATATTTCTTCCATACTTTGTCTAAATTATGCAGGAAAGGTTAAAGAAGTATTGGTCCGGGAACGAGAAGATTACAGAGGAAAAATTAGAAAAACGGACAAGCTAAAGCAGAGTAAAATATGGTGCTAAAGAAAGACGTGATATGCCATGACAAAGGACAACCGACTCACAATCGGCTACAACAAACTATAACCGACTCACAATCGGCTACAACAAACTATAACCGATCCATAACCAAAGAAGCTCATAACCAAGCATAACAAGGCCACAACCAGCCATAACAAGTTCATATCCAAGAGTGTATTGAAAAGTTTGTCATGGCTTGGCTATAAAAGAGGCATCAATCGTGAAATGGAAAAAGGGGGAGCGAGGAAGAAAGCTGAGAAGTGAAATATTGAGCAGAAAGTTTTTCCTTTCTCTTTGTTCTTTAGTTTTGCTTCTGTTTCTTCTTTTAGCCATTACTCTGACTTCATTTCTTGTTCTGAATACATTGTAGTATTGGAAATTACTCTAGTTCATGTTTTTAATTAAATAGGAGGAATTATTCTCTTGAATATTTCTTTCTATTTTCTTATTTAATGGGCAAGATTATTTCCGTTGTCGGTATTGGCTCCAATATGGAGTAACTTTTCTTGTGTTGGAAAAATAACGGATCTTAATATTTTTATATAATAGTAGTAGATATTATTCTTCAATTTCACATGCTTGAGCTGAAGCTTTTTATTTAAATTTTATCTACTTTATAGTTGGGTGTTATTTACTTTGTTAACATCTATCTATTTCGTACTACATATTAACTTCTTACTAATTCTGTAATCGAAAGAGGCAGAAGAAGTAATACTTAATTTTGGTATTGGTAGATGTTAACTTATATTTAGTAACATCTAGCTCATATATGTTAAAATTGATTCTACACTTATTTATAATCGAAAGAGGCGAATATTGTAGTAATCAGTTATAACAAGTAGGGTAACCGAAAGGGACTTACTAAAAAAAGAGCATACTTTAGTTCAAGTATATATTTCTGGTTCTTTAATATTACTATTTTAACGATTAATTTGTATAACCGAGAGGAGTGCATTTAATTGTTCAACTATAGTAATAATATATAAATGTAATCGTGAGAGGCATTTATACATTTATGAGAAATAGAAGTTGAAGAATAAATGTATCTACTATATAATAAAAAATATTAAGTGAAGTTAGGATCCCAACACCTTTATATTATATTTGTGAAAAACAAAAATATTTTCTATTGCTCCATTCGTGCATTTTTAGTTAGTTAATTTAAAACTCAACTCTTTCTGATTTTCTCAAATAGTAACTAAAACAAGAAACATTTGTAGAATAGATAAACCAATCTCTGTGGGTTCGACATCTTTCTATACTATTATTTGACAGAGTACGAGTTAAAATTTTATATACGCTAGACACTCGTCAAATTTTTGGCACCGTTGCCGGGGATTGGCTAAAGTCTACTACAGATTAATTGTTTTACTACTAATTTGAGATTTTTTTTGTATAATCATTTTAACTTTTCTACAAAAATTTCAGAAAGTGTATGACCCGTTCCTCTTCTAGAGAACCAGTCAAATACGATCCTGAAATTAAAAAATCTTTACGGTTGTTGCGAAAAGAACAAACCTCACAATCTCAAATTTTCACAATAGAGTAAATGGAGAACGAAGAACTCAATAACCAACTTCCACCACGTCAAGTAGAAGAACAGTTTGATGAGGTGGCACCACGACGTGATAGAATACTCCATGATTATGCAAGGCCAGATCAGTTTGAAGGAGAATCAAGTGTGAGGAGACCACCAATTGCAGCAAACAACTTTGAAATCCGCACAGGCTTGATTCAAACCATTCAACAGTCATGTCAGTTTACTGGTGATGCGAGTGAAGATCCTCACGCCCATTTAATTGATTTTATTGAATTAGTTGAAACTTGCAGGTATAATGGAGTCATAACAAATGGTATCAGGTTGCGGCTTTTTCCTTTTTCATTAAAAGGTGAAGCCAAAACATGGTTGCGAAGTCTACCAAGAGGTTCCATTACAACATGGGACCAAATGACCCAAAAATTTCTTAATAAATATTTTTCACCTGCAAAAACATTTAAAATGAAGCAAGAAATCAATAATTTTATGCAGACAGATTCTGAATCTGTATACCAGGCATGGGAAAGATTAGCAGCAATGTTAAGAAAATGCCCACATCATGGTATCCAAGACCCTGATATTTTATATATTTTCTATCACGGTCTTAAACCCTCTGCTAGAACTGTAATTGATGCAGCATCAGGAGGATCAATAATGGGAAAAACTACTGTAGAAGCAATGCAATTGCTTAATGAGATTTCGGAAAATGCTATTCAATGGCCCTCAGACAGAATGATTATCAAGAAAACAACAGGAGTAAATCAATTTGAAGCTTTGAATTCATTGACACAACAAATTGCGACTTTAACACAAAAAGTGGAGGCTTTTCAGGTAGGTGCTCGCACATCATCCCAACTTGAGAATTGTGATGTTTGTCAAGGTAATCATCCAAATCATGAATGTCAAGCTTCAACACAAAATGAGGAACAGGTAAGTGTGATTGGTTATAGAAATAATTACTCATTCGGTAGTCCCATGGCACAAAAACATCCAGGATTTCAATGGAGTAATCCTAATGGTGCTGAAAATCCTCAAAGATTTTTTAATCAAAAGCAGTAGGCACAGGGACCACCTGGTTTTCAAAATCAAAATAGAGGGCAACAGAATTTTCAACAATATCAGCAGCCTCAAAGAGTTCATCAACAAAGCCTTGAAGACCTGATGTACAAATTCACTAAGGCTACTGACGAGAAGGTTGAAAGTCAACATTCAGCTATCAAGAATTTGGAAATTCAGGTAACCCAATTAGCGACCCTCATGTCTGGACAAATTCAAGGTGCTCTACCAAGCAACACTGAGAAAAACCCAAAAGAACACCTCAAAGCCATCTCTCTACGATCAGGTAAATATCTTGATGATCCATATGCAGATAGAGAAGGAAATCCACAAGAAGTGGAAAAGGTAAATGAAGGTGAGAATAAAATAGAATCTAATTTCCAAAAGAACAAAAGGATAAAAGCAAAAATGTACTAGAAAATGAATTGATAACAAATCCTCACTCTGTACCTCTCCCTTTTCCCCAAAAGATGAAAAGAGAAAAGCTTGACAAACAGTTTTCAAAGTTTCTAGATATTTTGAAGCAACTTTACATTAACATATAATTCACAGATGCTTTGACGCAAATGCCTTCATATGCTAAATTTCTCAAAGAAATTTTGTCAAGTAAAAGAAAATTGGAAGAAGTTTCAGTGGTTATGTGACGACCCGGCCGGTCGTCTTAAGAATTAACGCCCCGATCCCCTATTAACTGCTTCCCCTAAGTTCTTTTCTGCTATTTTGGTTTGCCGGGACGTTCGGTTTTGAGTTTCGGAGAGTTTTGGGACACTTAGTCCCTAAATGAGAGCTTAAGTGTTGGAAAGTTTCCTGTAGTCGGAACAGTGTGAAGACGGCCTCAGAATGGAAATTTGATGGTTCAGTTAGCTCCGTTAGTTGATTTCGGGGTTGGGAGCGTGTTCGGAATGTGTTTTGGTAGTCCGTAGCTGATTTAGGCTTGAAATACCGAAGTTTGAATTTTTGAAGTTTCCGGTCCGATAGTGAGTTTTTGACCCGAGGGTCGGAATGGAATTCCGGAAGCTGCAGTAGCTCCGTCATGTCATTTGGGATGTGTGTGTAAAATTTCGGGTCACTCGGACGTGATTTGGTTAGGTTTTTGATCGAAAGCGTATTTTGAAGAGTTGGAAGTTCATATGCTTGATTTTTGGTTTGATTCGTCGTTTTGATGTTGTTTAAGGTGATTTGAAACTTCGAGCGAGTCTGTGTTAGGTTATATGACTTGTGTGTGTGATTAGACGGGGTCCCGGGAGCCTCGGGTGTGTTTCGGATGGGCTACGGGTTATTTTCTTCCATTTTTGAACTGCTGAAACTGCTGCTTCTGATACCCTCTTACGCGATCGCGAAGCATCTCCCGCGATCGCGATGCCTTACTTTGCCCACTGGGATATTTTCCTCTTCGCGTTCGCATAACTCCTCCCGCGTTCGCAAAGCCCAGTTTATTTCCTCTTCGCGTTCGCATAGACTACCTCGTGTTCGTGTACCTCTGCTATGTCCGCTCTTCGCGTTCGCGGACGCTTTCACGCGTTCGCGTAGAGCAACTTCTGGACCTCGATATTTTCCTTCAACGCGTTCGCATTCATGCTTCCGCGATCGCGAAGCACTGTTTTTCTCTTCTCCGCGTTCGCATTCTCATCATCGCGTTCGTAATGTACATTTCCGGGCCTTCTCGAATCTCCTCTACGCGATCGCGATCGTTGTTGCGATCGCGGTGAACAAATTGCTGGGCAGACAGAATTAAATCCCAAATTCGAGGGTTTCACCATTTTATCACATTTTGACTTCTAGAGCTCGGATCTTGGCGATTTTTGAAGGGATTTTCACCTGGGCGGCTTGGGTAAGTGCTTCTCACTCGGTTTAGACCAATTTCCATGAATCTCCTCTTAGTTTCATCTTTAATTTCGGATTTTTGAATGAAAAATGGGTAAAACTTCATAGACCAAATTATTGAGTTTTGAGTGGGTGTTTGACCTTCGATTTGTGAGATTTTTGTATGGTTAGACTGTGAGAGTACGAGGGTTCTGAAAATGTAAAATTTATCCGATTCCGAGACGTTGGCCTGAGGGGCGTTTTGGTCATTTTGCCTAATTTCGCGCTTTAGCTTTGAATTAAATAGTAGAATCAGTTGCTCGAGATGTTATTTACAATGTGTGATTTAATTGAATAGATTTGGGCCATTTGGAGTCGAGTACTCGTGGCAAGAACGTGGTTGCTAGTTGATTTTAGCCGGTTCGAGGTAAGTATTTTGCCTAACCTTGTGTGGGGGACTTCCTCTTAGGATTTGAGTCTTCTTTGTTGATTGTATTCCTTGTACGCGAGGTGACGAGTGCGTGCTCGGATTTATTTGTGGAAAATTGCCCCTTTTAGGCTCTTAGATCCTTGTAATCACCGATTTTGAAGTTGTTCTTGATACGATTGAGTTCCCTGTTATTAGTTTCACCTCTACATGACTTACTTGGAATTTATCTGCCCTTTTTGGTTATTCGTGTTGCCTAATTGACTTTACTTGTTTAACTGTAGACATTTACCCTTCTATAGTCATATTATCATTCCTAACTGCTTGTCTTTATCTGGAAAGCATTATTTCTATCTCTCGTGTAATTAACTGGTCTTAATTGGAAAGAAGTTAGATATCCTATGTTTAGTTGATATTTCCTTAATTATAATTATTTGATTCATGTTAACTTCCTTGTTGTTGAACTGAGTGTTTTGGAATTGTTGTTTCGTATTATTTCTCCTTGTTGAGTTGTTCTTATTGCGCTTAGTATTTCTGTGTTACGGTTATTCCTTATGAGTTAGTTGTGATTCTCATGCTTTGTTCCCGTATATATTGTCATTTGTTGTGTGGTATTTGAGACTGTGATGCACGAGGTTTCTGTCGTGCGGTTGTTGATACTGTGATGCACGAGGTTTCTGCCGTGCGGTTGTTGATACTGTGATGCATGAGGTTTCTGCCGTGCGGCTGTTGGTACTGTGATGCACGAAGTCTCTGCCGTGCGGTTGTTGTTGAAGGGTTGCAAGAGGTCTTTGCCGTGCTATTGTTGCTATTGATGTTTTGCACATGCGGCGTAATAAGGCGGGATAT